AACAAGCGGCGGTTAAAACTTGGTGAAGATTACTCAGAATCGACACGACCTTGATAATATATCCCCTTTCGTCAATATTTACTTAATACGATTTAATAAAAGATTTTTACGTATCTACACACACACACACACACACACACACACACACGTGCGCGCGCGCACGTACGCACGCACAATGTCTGCAGATACACAATACAAGAAAGTAATAATTCAAGAAAGAGATGATAATAATTAATAATTACTTACTAATGTTGCAAATTTGTTATTTATAATGTTTCTAAATATTATCAATATTATATAACATATTATTTTTTCATATTTTATCATATCTATTTTTTGTGAGTATATTCCTGTGTCACAAATTATATCAGTAATAAAGTAAAGTTCCCTATTACAAGGTAGATTTCTAATACGAAATAGCGATGTTTTTGTTCCCAATTTCATAATTTGACGTCTATTAGTTTAGTCGAAATTCTGATATTTTATATTACGAGCTTATCTCATAATAAGGGACTTTCCTCTATCATTTTTATATTTTCATAATGCCAATATCATGTTGAGATAGCTAGTTTGCATTTTATAAAACATTGACTTTCCCAGTAAATAATTCAGAAATGTGTATAAAATATGCTAGAAATATTTACTTATATTTATCATAAATATTATATAAAGTGTTTAATTCATATTTTAATAATATTTCGAAAATAAAACTTAAAAAAAGTGAATATGTAAAATATTTATGTAACATTTCAAAGAAATAAATAGTAATAGATATTTATAAATATTTATCATAAATATTTATCATAATATTCTGAGAATATTCTTAAAATATTCTTAAAATTAACTATTATCTAATCCCGGTTTATTTTGATCAATTTACTCTCATGGCTGTTTCTATTGAAAGAGATAATATTATCAAACTTGTTTTGTTACAATAATCATAAATTAACTACACAAAAATTATCTAAGGCTTATAATTATCTACAATTATAATCAAATCGAGATTGATTATAATCAAATCGAGATATTAAAAACTAATAAAAACACAAAAAGGAGATAAGAAAATTTTTCTCAATATTGTTTCCTTAAACACCGTTATAAATAATACAATGAACGAAATTTCTATAAGAACACTACTATTTTTAATTTAAAAAAAATCTAAATGTCTTCTAAATAAAATTAAATAAAGAAAAACAAGAAGATTATGAAGGAATAGTAAAAAAAAAACCAATATTAAGAGAAAATAAACTTTATTATCTTTTTTATAAATAAATTATTTATAAATATATGTTATAAACAATTAAATTCGATTAAAGTATTACAAAGAACATAACAATTCTAATATTAGTAATTAGTACTTCAATCATTACGCCTAATTAACTCATGTATTCTATTTTCTATACTACAAACTAACTTTTATGTCATAGTATCAATTTTATTCCAATCTTATAACGTTTTTCAATTCCTTAATGTTACTATAATGTTTATTATTTTTATATACTGCTCTTGACAGAATTCCATATAAATTCTTTATCAGAATTAAATCCGGCAAACGCGCCGGAAAATTTGCCACTTTATAAGTAGCAAATTTTTCTGTTGAAATTTACACTTATGTGTTTTCTTTAAATTGTGTATAGCAGTGTTGTTTTATTATAAAATAACATTTTCTTCGTGATTTTCTTTGATAAATGGAATTAAACAATCTTCTAATAAGTCGATATTTTTCTGCGTTAATTCTGATACAAATTTTGCATATTAACGTCTTTGAATAATTAAACGCATATCATCAACATCCTCTATCGAAATTCATGGCTGCTGCCTTATCAGTTCGTAAATCGTGCGAGAAATTTTTAAAACCATCAGGTTCATGTAGGTTACTTTTTTTATTAAAACATACGACATTTTTCCACTCTTTATATCAAGTTATATGATTTCGAGCAAACTTTAATCTCGCAGACTTTATGACTTTGAAAATGAGGAGGCATCAATAACTTTTTGTCCACTTTAAATTTTTATCTTGTAGTATTTGCGCTGCACACGTTGCGCAAAGTCACTGACAGTTTCAAAATTTCTTGCTACTTCACCAGCAGTTTTATTCCCGGTTCGTATTTTTTTGAAATTTATGAACGATCATGCCTATTGTAAGTTTTGTACTACTGCCTGTATAATGATTTTTATAGTTTTCACACAATCTCAAAAAATTGTCTATAGAATTATTGGATCAATCAATTTGTTGACGATCTCTCGAACTGAAGAAATGTCTGCATCACGGTACGCTTATATGTATTTTTACTTGTTCTTCTGAAAAACTTTTCTCGTGACATTCTGGTAGAAAAGAAATTATTTTAAATTACTTAGAAATTATAATATTATTTCTAATACTTACTTTCCTTGAAATTGATGTTTCCGGTTTAAATAATAAAAAATAATTATATATTAACATTTTTATAGGAAGACTGAGGCACCGGATCTAAGCTAGCATTTAAATTTTGAGTGGCAAAAATATATCTTATGAATTCCCAATTTATATTATAGATGGCATCTCGTGTGTTTTTTTACCAACGAAATTCATTGATTAGTTTAGGTGCTGCATTGTTACATTTAAATAGTCAAGCGTGTTTTCGATAGTCAAAAATTTAGTAATTTTTCGAACGTTCGGACAATATATGTATCCTCGTTGTTATTTTTTAAATTCAAAATTATTCAGGTAAATAAATCTATGTTTTAAACATAGTTCTCATGTTATTTTTTTCTATTTTCAGAATTGTTTAAATTTTATATTTATGTCAAATTACAATATATTTTGGGGCTAATTATAAGAGAGCCATCGGGGCTACTAAGTGGACACAAAACGACTTAACCTCGATTTTTATTCACAATATTTTTACTGTATTTTTATGTTAATTACAGTATTTCGCAATTACAAGCATAAAATTGATCCCATTGATAAAGAGGTTGTCTAAAGCTGCGCTAATCGTCAAAAAGGACAATATGAAAATTGCAGCGAAAAAATTTGAAAAAAAGTTTGTCTAATATGGAATCAGAAGATTCAAATTAAAGATTTGAAATAAAATTTAATACAGTTTCTTTATTTTTTTACTATAATAACGTGTTATTTCATATTGCATCGAAAAAAATGTGATATCCATTTAGTCCCATTTAGTCCCGAGAGGTGAGGGGGGAGGGAAGAGGGGATAAGGATACCCTGGCATTCTTCAGATTTCTTTTTCCAAAGACATATCATTTTTGTATATATGAATGAAATGAAGTTGCAAACACCAAAACTTTTTATTACCACTTTGTAGTGGCAATTAGTCTTATAAACACTCTATAAAATACTAATAATCATTTGACTAAAATCATTTATTTTGTTATTAAAAACTATTAACTAATTGAGAAAAAAAGAGGTGAGAGAGGGTACCCATTTACCCCGGTTTCTCCTTTCGTACCTGCCTTGGCTGACATTCTTATATCTATATTTACAACACTAAAAACTCACGAGTTTACATTATTGTTTCATAGCAAAAACACTATGGTTTGTTCGCGTCGCTCCAATATGCTCCAACATGCTCCTATCACAGCTCCTACTCACTCTATTAAGCGCGTTGGAATGAGTAAGAGAATGATAGGAGCATATTATATGTTGGAGCATGTGACGTGAACACATCTCTAGTATAACAGAGAAGAACATCGCTGTCCCGATTTCTGATTGGTTCCGCCATTTTTTCCACAGATAGTCTTTTAGGACTCTAATTTCGGTAAGTATCTTTATTTTTAAATCTTGATATGTACTGCAGTCTCCAAAGAGAATCAGTATTTTTTTATAATCAATAGAAACACTACTGTTATAGGAATCGCACTCCGTTTGCAGACAGATGTAAACACAGATCGCCATTTTTTCTTTAAACGATTAATTATAATCTTTAAATTATAAATTATAAACTTATTATAAACTTATTATAAACTTTAAATATACTTGGTTGCACTTCTCTATTATATTTAGGACTCTAAAGTAGACAAGCGAAATGTACCGTCCACTACTACTGTGAGTTCCGATAGAACACTAGAAATGTAGGTATTCGCGTCCACCATTTTTATTCCTTTTCCCATTGCTTGTTCTATTCCATCACTGAGCTGTGATGGGTTATAGTCATTACAAGTTATGATTTGTATTTGCTGCTTTTGTAGCTCCTTTCATTCCATTTTTGTTCTCAAAATCAATTGAATATCTATTGTAATATTAATGCAGGACTTAAAGAGTGTCTGACGTTCAAGTTCAAGTTATTTTTAGATAAGGATATACAAATATGTATATCAATTTGAAGAAAAGGATTGAAATTTCTCATCTGTGAGAAAGTGTAGTGATGTTTATTCACAAGTCATGTATTTATTTTACAGCAATGCAAGTTGTCGACGAATATTATCCACAGGAAATTTAAATAATCAAATACCTTTTTCTGCTGATACAGTTTACCGCAATGCAACAAGGCATTTTATAAATTTTTTTGCTTTCGTTAATATATAATATTTCAGTTTTTTTATATCCTTCTTTTCGTCTCTTAGTCTTATAAAATTTCGAAGTGCGAAAATACATAAATATGAAGCTACAAGGTTTTCAATAGCTTAGAAGCTATAATCTATAACAACCATAACGACCATAATTTTTTCAGCTCAGCAGCGGACTGAGAAGAGAGCAAGGGGAAAGAAGTAAAAATGGCGGATATATTCACGTTTATATACGTATATATAGTATAGTAGTATAGTAGTATAGTAGTATAGTATAGTATAATAGTAGTATAGTATAATAGTATATAATATAGTTTATAGTATAGTACTTTAGTTCCGATTGGCTCTTCCGCTTTCCGCTTTTCCGTCAAGATGTGAAGCTGATCTGAGACCACGTGGATTCACGACACGTTTGCATTAACAAACATGGCGATAACTCGCAAATCTTCTGGTATCTTTACAGAGAATTTGTATTTTTAAAGCAAAAAATTTGTTTTTAAAGCAAAGAATTTGTGTTATATATAGAAGAATTTGTGTAACCCTCTATGCCACTGATGTGACAGATTTCTTAACCTAACAATAGTTAACTTTCGTGATTCAAAAAAAGAAATACTTTTTAATATCTTATTTCGAGAGATTGAGCATATTTTGATGTCAGATTCTTTAATTTCATGTAAAAACGCGTCGAATGAATATAATTTCATTGAAATTAAAGGTGAGGAGCGGTTCTTCTGAATAATTACCGAATCATTTTTACCGGCCGTAAATTATTAATTTTGTAAATCATAAGAAATTAACTATTCATAGTCGAATGTGAGGAGAATATTCAAGAATATTCATTTTTTTCTCCTCACATTCGATTTAATTGGTCAATTTTCTTTTTTGCGCAAAATAATTACAGCAGCTATTTTCTTGATTCAGTCGGAAATCTGATTATTTATAGAAATAATCAAAGTTGGTTGAAGTTCATATATAAGGATCTTTCGTTTTATTAATTCTTTTTTTATTTTGATTTGTTTAATTGTTGACTTATCGCTTATCATTGATTACAGATTAGCACTATTTCACTGACAACTGCAGACACTCATATATGAAAGATCAGCTCAAAATAGGATAAAGAGATACCAAGAAACTAAAGCATTCGCGAAGTAAGTGATCCCGTGAAGCAATATGTGTTCGAATCTACGTAGTTGGCCAGTCTTCAATTTACTGAAGCCAGAATTTATTTCTGAGATTCACATGGTTATGGTATTTGGTAATTTACTTTGTTCTCTTGTGTATTAATCTCTTGGCAGTATTATTACTTACCAAATGTTTCAAAACAGGTAAATTGGGTAAAAGAGCTTTAATTGTAACAAGAAAGGATAAGAAAGTATATGGCTTGGTGAATGACAATCTCCATACTTTGGAGAGCAGAGACAAAAGCTCTACTATGTTATATCTGAAGGAGGTTAAGGATTTGTGTGGAAAAGATATAAAGACGTTCGCATATGGCATGGGATCTCACATTTTGGCACTCACGAATGGAGGAGAGGTAAAAAGTTGTTAGGAAATTGTACATTGGAATGAACTTTTAATTGATGTCTTTATAACATGCTTCTGGAATATATGTAATTCTATTCCCTTTGAACTAATATCTATATAATTTTCATGAATATACGAATTTGTTAGGTTTCATTCTGGTAATTTTGTGAAAAATAGGTGATAAAATAGTTAATGTCTTCCATAACAAAAAATATAAAAGCATAACTACGAATGTATGCTTTATCACACAGATAATATCCCTATGATGATTATAAAGCTTTGATAAAAATTGTATCTTATTGTGTGACATTGCTATACACACACACACACACACACACACACATACACACACACACACACACACACACACACATATATATATACATAGATTAAAGTAACAATGGCTGCATTCACAGAAAAAGCAGCTTTGCAAAATTGTTGTAAAATTCTTTAATATGATTGGTCTTGTCCTTAATTCCTCACTTGATCTAAATATATAAATCAATAATATTCAAGAATTCTACAATAGTTATAAAGCTGCTTTTTATGCTGAACATAACCATTAACATTGAAAAAGACAAACGAATTTTTTGTTCATTTAAATATTATCACAACTTGCTTGTGAATTTATTGTGAGTCTATTATGATATCACTGGCCTTTTCACCGAGGGTTTAAATCGGATCAGAATGTAAGAACCAACCAACTACAGTCGAGCATTTCCCTCGTTCGACTGTAACAGGAGAATACTCGACTGCAGTTGATTGGTTCTTAGGAGCTCTACAATAATAAAAGGAATAGAGAACAGAATAAGAATTTCAAACTCAAATTTCAAAATCAAAAATTATGTATTGTGGAATAACAGTTTCTGATAGGTTGAAATTCTTATTCTTTGTGCTCTATTCCTTTTATTGCACGGAATCCCTTACATTCTAATCTGGTTTAAATCCTCGGAAACTAGGCCACTGTGAAGTTTTTTGCTATGGAAGAGGGGATGCTTATGTATAAAAAAATTTATGTTTGAATTTCTCTACTTTATCATTTTTCATTCATGCCTAACAAAAATATTTGTTAAAAGTTTTATGAAGCCAAATTAATAGATGCATTTATGAGATATTAGAATCAATGATAGTAATGTCTGCAAAAGGTATATTCGTGTGACAACATTTATCAATTGAAGAATGGAACATTTAATATGGATCTCACATTTATTTTAATAAACATCCCTACTATTAAAGATGATCGGAACATGAAACATGTCGTGGACATCGCATGCGGCAATAAACATTCTGTTATTCTAACCAAAAATGACGAAGTAAGTAAACATCGTTGTATGACGATAACCCTCTGTTATCATATAAGTTAAATAATTGATTTAATTAGGTGTATGCCTGGGAATCCAGTCCAAATAATAGTGGACAGGTGGATAACAGTACCTATGGACTTTCTATAACACCTAAGCTTATTTTGTCTAATATTGGTTGTATCTCCTGCGGCGATAACTTCACCATGGCTGTCACCAGAAATGGCAAGGTGTATGGTTGGGGTAATAACGACGTTGGCCAACTAGGAATAAACAACTTTTCACTCTATGAGAGTAAAAATATGCCGCGACAGACTAGTATGCAGAGAAACACACTTTTCAGTGGCCAGATAGCGACAATCCCCCAAGCTGGGGGAGCCAACAATTTTGAGAATAAAAATATGACACCGCAGATGGTTGGTATACCGGAAAGCCTTATTGTAGGTAATTCTCTTTTCGATAAAGCAGTAAATGAAGAAGGTGACAAAGCAAAACAGGATCATTGAATAGTATTATTACAGACAAGGTAACTTGCGGATCAAATCACACGCTGGTGCTCACAGACAAAGGGACCATTTATGCTTGGGGTGGAAACAAATTCAGCCAGTTGGGGATTGGCCAGACAGAGTTCTATACACCAATCATGGTAGACTTATGTTTATCGTTATCTTGAAGGAAATAGAATAAAAAAAGGAAAGATAAAGTAATCATGATCAATAATTATACCAATCAGGTCAATCAAATAGAAAAGATGAGATGGATCGACATTGCGGCTCTGAATAATACTAGCATCGCTGTCACTGAAGCAGGACGTTTCTATGTTTGGGGTGATTGCCGCGGTGAGTGCATCTCGATCCCAATCGCCACTTCATCCTTCAATGTGCACGACACTTTTGGATACTACGGGCCAAACATTATGCATAAACCGTTGATTCTGAACGAAAAGCCGGACATATTAGGATGCTTGGAAATTGCATTCAACAATTCTGTATGTTTTTGTATCTTTGTTTCACATTTTCGTATCTTTGTTTCACATTTTCGAAATGTACAATGAAACAAATATGATATTAAAAAGGAAAAAATGCAATTGAAATAAATATTATAGCTCTGAGATCTGTTTTAAAGAGAGATCTTGTTTTTAAACTTTTTGCACTTTTCAATTTTCTTCTTTTTTTTTCATGTTGAAGAAAAGAAGAAATGGAAGGTCAAGAAGTTCAAAAAGAATAAATTTTACTAATAATATATTTGTATTTGTGCATATCTTGTTATTATCAATATATCTCTATAGCAAAATGCTAATAGTTTGACAGCAAAGAAATTGATAGCAAATTTGATTCCTAGTAGATCCATATTTGTCCATGTCCGTATTAAATTCAATATCTATCAATTTACTGATTACTACGCCAGTAGATTAACAGAAACTGAATAAGACTGCATGCACCGGCATCTGATGACAACAGAAATCGAACATAAGCTGCAAAAATTCTTACTCGATTCCTGCCACCAACATACTGACAACGCATTTCAATAAGCTTTATGTTCTATTTCTGGCGGCAGTTTATGACCGACATTATCAAATATTATCAAATATATTTGCATGAATTCTGTTTAATTTCTCTGATATCAAAAATTAATAACATATTCTCCTTGAAATCTGTTTCTTCATATTTGGCTGTTTGGATAATAATGTTTTCACCCTTATTATAATGGGGTTGAGATTTTATTATTTTCTTATTTTATTTTAATATTTTATTTTAATTATGTTATTAGCTTAAGTATTTTAAAAAGTTCTAGAAATTTCTTTCTAGATAAAAAAGTATCGAAACTGAGGCAAGTACTTTAATTGATAGTGTAATAGAGTTTGTTCCAGATTTTAGATAAATGTGACAATTATTTTATATGCCATACTAATACGTATATATTTGTTTCTAATGACTTGTTCTCTCATTTGTGATATAGTCGACAAGCGATCTCACAATACAAGTGGAGAACGAATGTATCTATGTGCACAAGGTTATCTTGACAATTTGCTCTTTACACTTCAAAAGGATGTTTGAGAGAAATTGGAAAGAAAACAATCAAAGGTAATAGCTTAATAAATATCAGTTATTTATGTAAAATTTTCTCAAGTTTTTATTCATGTCAACGTCATTCTCTTCCAATAGTGTCATCAAGATTGATGATGTTTCCTATAACGTCTACAAAGCATACCTGAAGTATTTATACACCAATACAGTCGATTTATGTCTTATAAATACCTTTGAGAAGGTATCAGGTAAGTGAAATATATTATGAGCGATTATTGGCCTAAATACTCATTGGACGCATTCAGCGGACTAAACATTTGAGTGAGCGCACATTGATATTGATGTTTTTCTAGATCATTCAATCAGATTTTTTAGAAAAATACACCAATAGCAGCGAACGCTCACTCAATTGTTGAATCTGTTAACTATTGAATGCGTTAAATAATTGAAGCGTTTTTTTTTAACAGAACTTTTTGATTTGGCCAATGCTTACTGTGAGGACAATCTCAAAAAGCAGTGCATTTATAGAATAAAGCAAGAAATTACTGTATCAAATGTTGCCTACTTTTATAGTTTTGCAGTAAAGTATGATACAGAGGTAGTCAAACATTGTCACTATTAATATTTCATTGTGTATCTTATGTATCCATGTACGTACAATAATTGAATGCTATTGATAATTTTTTAGGAGCTGAGAGAATTTTGCGTCCGGTTCGCCGTTATTCATATGAGGGCTGTAGTGAAAACAGAAAATTTCGCCAAGCTTGAGGACAAGAAATTGATGAATAGATTTATAAATGAAGCGAGCGAAGCTGGCTGCTTCAAGAATTAATTCCGTCTGTTTTCCTTAACAAGATAATGCAACTCAACGAGAAATTGATGGAAATCATCGGTATGATTGTTGCTACATAAAAACTCACCATATATTTTATAGTTGCATATTCTGATGAAATATTCGGAAAATTCTTTTTCTCGGTGAGTCAACTGTATCATTATTAGGTGTGCGTTCAGAAATTACATCCAGAAAATTAGTTCACTTTTGCTATAATTTACGTGAAAAATGAATTATAGCCTACAGTTGTCTAAGAGTATTTCCTGATCATATCCTAATATTTTGTGTAAGTGATAAATATGCCTAATTCCGTTCAGTCGTTCAAATTATCTTGCGCATTCTAATTCATGCGAGAGATTCTTTTGTCAATCGAAGAGTATAAGAGATATTATGATCTTGCAACTAAGATTAGCTTAGAATTTGCGAAAACAAAGGAAAACAGAATGTAAACTCGCTGAGAGAAATCAATCTCGTGCTTACAACAGTGCTGTTATCTGCATAACGAATTTATTAATAACGTGCCAAGTGTGAATGGTTGCAAGAATGTTTACAATTTTTTCTATTTTTTAAAAAATCATTTTTATGATATACCATATTGGTATTTACCATTAGCGATCATGCTAACTTCTCGCCGATTTTGTTCATCAGTTTGCGAGCTTTGTAAAATATTGATGCACAAATTGCATGCAAAAATTTCTAACATTTCCTAACAAGTTGCAATATTTTGCTTTTGTTGTTTATCTTCTGATTGCTCCTGGCTGCTTTAATTGTTAGATGGTAGGGGCATCTTCAATAGATCAATGACCGTTGAGTGATTTTTTTATATGATCCTTTGATTGATTCTTTCTTATTTTTATTTTTTTGCTAGATTTAAATAAGAAATACAGCCGCTTGCTTCTTTTCTCCTTTATTAGGGTGTTAGGCACTATAAACGTGCATATTCGCATATCCGCCATTTTTACTCCTTTCCCCACTCCGTCGCTGAGTTGAGAAGGTTATGGTCGTTACGATTGTTATAGGTTATAGCTTCTAAACTGTTGGAGGCATTTTACAAATTTTTTTGCCTTCGTTAATATATAATATTTCAGTTTTTTTATATCTTTCTTGTCGTTTCTTATGATAAAGTGCAATGGAAACTTTGTAGCTTCGTATTTATGTATTTCCACACTTCGAAATTTTATCATAAGACTAAGAAACGAAAAGAAAGATATAAAAAAACTAAAATATTATATATTAATGAAGGCAAAAAAATTTGTAAAATGCCTTGTTGCGTTGCGGTAAACTGTATCAGTAGATCAGAAAAAGGTATTCGATTATATAAATTTCCTGCGGATAATATTCGTCGACAACTTGCTGTATTGCTGTAAAATAAATACATAAATAAACTTGTGAATAAACATCACACTTCCTCACAGATGAGAAATTTCAATCCTTCAAATTGATATACATATTTGGCATTTTATCTAGAAATAACCTGAACTCCAGACACTCTTCAGATCCTGCATTAATAAAATTATCGATATTCAACTGATTTTGAGAGTAAAAACGGAATGAAAGCAGCAAATACAAATCGTAACCTATAACGACCATTACTCGTCACAGCTCACAGCTTAGTGATAAAATGGGGACAGAACAAGGAATAAAAATGATGGCGCAAATATCTACGTTTCTAATGCTCTAGTGATGTCCTATGCAAATCGTGCATAAGCGGATTCGCGTGTCGCCAATCACAGAATCATTCTCTTAGATCTTGCGAAATTTGCAAACAGATTTAAGAGAATGATTCTGTGATTGGTGATACGCGAATCTGCGAATTCGCACGATCCGCTACATGGGACACCTTTAGAGCACGTTCATACCTTGACGGAAAAGCAGGAAGCGGAAAAACAGTGGCCAATCAGAATCTTATGTTCGTAAATACAAAAAGCCGAAATTGTAGACTATCAACTAAAGTTCTGATTGGCTGCTACTTTTCCACTTTCCGCTTTTCCATCAAAGTGTGAACGCGCCATGTAGCGCGGTAAGTGGCACGGGCTAGTGACAAATTCACGTTACTAAAAACTTTTTAATAGAATTAATTGATTTAAATGCAATTATTAAGTAAATCCGTTGAAAAAATAAGAGTAGTGATGAAATATGCATAGAAATAAGTTAATTATATATTTTTAAAAATTCATATTAAAGTTTATGTGTCAACCCGTACCGTGTTACATATTATATATCGCATACGAAAATCTAGTAATACTATAGTATGTGTTATATATACTATAGCATTTCTTTAGTTTTATATGTGAATAGGGGCTCAGTTATTTCGTCTTCTCGATCGCCATCATAGTTTTAAGTTTCCTCTCTTATATTCTATTCTTTCCATGCTCTAAGGGAGCTACATAACCTCTTTCAACTTATTCGTCAAGGTAAAAGTGAGAGTAAAAATCATCTATAATTTTATTAAAAAGCTTGGAAACATTATATACTCGACTATGTTACTAGAATAATATTCAGGCATTGTGTCAAATCAAGAGAATACTTCAAAAAGAAGGAAGAAATTTTGTTATAATTATTGTTGTTTTCATTCTAATGTTGAATTAAAACGTTGAGTTAAAGTATACAGGAAAACAATAAAATTAACATCAACATACACAATGTCCATATTTACGAGGCGAATACTTTCATGTATAGGTAACCTTTTTATTTTAATAATTTTTTTATAATAAAAAAATGTCACCATGTGTACTAGTACAATAACTAAGTAGCAAAGTTTGTTTCCAGTTTCAAGAGAATGGCAATGTTTGCGACCTGTTGTCTGTAACACACATCTTCGACAATGTCAACTGTCAACTCAGTCTCAACCGAGCTTAGAATCTGGTAAATTTGTACACACAAGCATATCTGTATATGAATTGAGCTTAAATTTTATTCTTCATATTTCTAATTATTTACAATTTCCAGGAAAGAAGAATAATAAATGATTAAGAGCTAAAATAAGATTGGAAAAGTGACTTTATTTTTATTCTCAAATGGATGATTAAAAAGGAATTAAGGATGATTAAAAGAAATATTAAAAACAATTTTAATATTTATTCTTTTTTAATATTTTTCCTTTCTAAATATGTTTGAAAATAAATAAAGTTGTCACTTCCAATTTTATTTTAGCATATCTTTAATCATATTTTTATTCTTATTTGCATTTGTACTTTTTAAGTTTGATTTATCTGTTGTTTTCTAGAAAATAAATTTTATTGTTACATTTTTAATATTTTTTAATGAAAATAGTATTTTATGTGTAATGTTAATAAAATTTAACGTTATATTTTGTAATATAATATTTTTCATCATACACATAGATCTGTCCAACATCCCTGAAAGTTCAGAAGTCATGTTGGATCCACTAACACACCCAGACTTCTTCCAAGTGCACAAACTATTTACTGTAAAGGATCTATATGATGCGAGAGTGCATTATGGCCACAAGGAAATTTCCCTTAATGAACACATGGAGACGTTCATATTCGGCTCCAGATTGGGACATTTAATAATCGATTTAGATCAAACCGCTGAGTTGTTGAGACAAGCGTTGAATTTCACTGCTCATATCGCCTTCCGGGGCGGCATAATTCTGTTTATCTCGCGCAATCCCCAAGTCACGCATTTAGTGGACAAAACAGCCAAGGAATGTAAAGAGTTTTCACAGACGAGATTTTGGCGACAAGGATTATTCCCGAATTCGAGGAATCAGTTCAAGGCGATGACGCGGTTGCCGGATCTGTGCATCTTTCTCAGTACTCTGGACACAGTCATGACTGAGCACACAGCAGTGAGACACACGGCTAAGATGTGCATACCCAGTGTTGGCATAGTCGATACGAATTGCAATCCGAATCTTATAACATATCCAGTGCCCGGAAATGACGATTCTCTGTGCGCTATTCAACTTTATTGCTCGTTATTCAAAGAAGCTATCATGAGAGGGAAACGGGCGAGAGAACAGATGATACAAAGTGCAAAATCGACATAAATCTGAAATAAATGGTAAAACAAATATATGTAGATGTACATGTAAAAAAATATAACAAAGTATCAAAGTACATTCTTTTCTTTAATCGAAGAGTAGAGCTAGTAAGTAATAAAGTGATTTAAAAAAATCAATATCGCTCATTCGTTACATTAACGACATAATTCAAAAAACGAATTTTCTAGAAAATAAAATATTTTCTACTTTAATTTTGTAATACAATTTTGATACAATAACTGATTGTAAAGAAATAAAAATATGTATTTTCTTTTTATATTTTCGTTTTATTTTTATAAGCAACCAAGAAATTACAACTTTTAATTAAATAACAAATGAGCGATGTCAGTTAATAGACATCAATTAATCTGTTTACATCTGTTTTATTTTCTTATTATGTTTAATATATACATTTAATATATACATATATAAAAATCTTCTTAAAGCGCTTATGTGAAGAATATATTGGCAAAACATAATAAAAATACAGTTGACATTAGAATATTCAGTGATGATCATGATGATTAATCCGTTTTGGAGGCGTTAGCATCTCGTAATTTTAGCAGGTATTTCAGACCTAAATTCTTTATAATCCTTTATAAAAAAAACATAAAACAATTAAACGCGATAATATTTAAATTGAACAAAAAATTCGTTTATTTTTTTCAACGTTAATGACTGCATTCAGCAGAAAACGCAATTTTGCAATTATTGTAAAATTTTTTAATATGATTGGTTTGTTTATTTAGGTATGAGGAATTAAACACAAGAATCAATCAAATTAAAGAATCTTACAATACTTGGAAAATTGATTTTTTTGAACGCAGCTATTATAAATTAGGTCGAATCCATTTAAACATTCTATAATTTTAAATAAAAATAATTTTAAATAAATTCGATTTCGTTTAAATGTGTATTCTCTATATGCATAGTATATATTGTGATTCTTATAAATATTTTCCATAAATAAATAAATTGACAAACTTTTCTATCTCGAAAGATTCTATCGTAATTGTCAGTTATAGATTATTTAACATGAGTCTAAGAATTCTATAGAAAAAAAATAAACGAACTTTTTCT